CCACGACAGGAGATAACATACCAAACTGGATGGTAAGGAGCTGATCTTGATCTTCTCCATCCCTTCTGTCTCGCTCGAACTTTGATCTCCCAGAAGAAGTTTCTGACAATTCCTTCATCGATTCATTTGTACCGGTCTCTTCACTGTTTTTGAGGACATTTTGATTGGCTACCTTGAGTAGTTTAGGCGCTTTAGGATGTGGCACTCCCTGTTGCTGCCTCATCATCCGTCCATAATTTCATTGGAAACACCTTTGTTGGATTCTAGTCATCTCATCGAAAGGTATTGTCCTTCCTGTATTATACTGGAATGAATGCCATACATTTGGCCGACGAGGTTGCGACCTGAATGTTCTTCCATTATCTGTTGGCCTAAACTGCCTCTCAAAAGGCGATCCTCTATAAAATGATGTACCTCGCCCTCTACCAGGCTGAGTGTTTGGAAAGAAAGTAGGGCGATGGGGATGCTGCCATGTCCCTGGTTTCTCCGTATTTCCATTCACTTCTCTTTTATACCTTGCACACAGGACGTCTTCATCCTTTTTTGGTTCTTTCTCCTTGATTCGTTCAAAGACGTTGGGATGTGGTTTAGGATCCTCTTCTCCATCATCTACGACCAACTTGAATTTTGGTAACTTGTTTTTGAATCCAGATGTTACCATGTTTACTCCAAGTGGCTGTGGGAAAGGATTTTCGTCCACTGCCATCTTCTTCTTATCATCGAACGTAATTCGTCCTGATTCAATGGCATCCTGCAATACATGACGGAAAACCAAGCAATTGTTAGTCAAATGTAACCATGCATTATGCCACTTACAATATTTTTTACCCTTAATTTGTTCAGGGTTTGGCAATTTGTGCTTATCGCTCAACTTTATCTGCTTATCCCTATATAATTTGTCAAATATAAGGTCAGCTTTGGTTACGTCGAACGAGAACGTTCTAGCCTTTATGTTTCCATCTTTTATGGGCTCATCTTTACCCGATGGTCTAGGTTTGGCCATTATGGGACAAGTATATGTATCTCCTTTGACCAATTCGGCCAAACACATTTCGGCCTGGTCATATGACTCGTCACTGATGGTATGAACATCAAAATTTGGGTCTTTGTAATAAGACCCTTTACTAGAATTTTTCATCTGTTCTTCTTCTCTTATCAGTCGTTCATACCTAATCACATTCGCACTTAACTGGAAGAGGTCATGAAATTCCTTGTCTTGGAATTTCTTCTTTAAATCAAAGCTCAAGCAGCCTTGAGCGATTTTGACAAAAAAATTTTCGGGCAAAGGTACAAAACACTTGCTTCTTGCTGTCTTGAACCTTTGGAGAAAACTTTCTGCCCATTCGTTTGGCATTTGACGTAGATTCGCAAAATTAGCCAAAGTGACTTCAGACTCAATTTTATAAAACTGAGCGTGAAATAACTGTTCCAATTATTGCCATGTTTGAACAGAATTCGCTGGCAAGTTGATGAACCAGGAGAAAGCTACTCCTCTTAAGGAACTGGAGAAAAGCCTCATTTTATGGTAATCGGTTACATCACCACTTTGCAATGTGAATCGCCCTATGTGTTCAAGAGTAGACACCTCTCCTAAACCGGTAAACAGTGAGAATTCTGGCACCTTATACCCTCTAGGTCATGGGTATGCTTGGTCTACCCAATCAGGGTATGGCTTTGTGTAGGTCGGCCTAATGACGGGACGCACCCCAAAAGCCATCTGATCCTGTACGATTTCCATAATCTAATTCCTCAACATGACGTTGGGGTCATATAGAATTCCTACAGGTTGGTTAACCGGTTGATTTGCATGAGGCCTGATGTTTGGTCTTTGATTGACAACAAAATTACCATGATTAGGGCCATTACCATTAGCCTGAACATCTATTCCCTCATTAACACGTGGAATATTCTTTCCATTGTTTAGGACATTATCTCTTATGTTTGGATTACCCCCCAAGTTAGGCACACCACTACCATTGTTCTGATTTGGCACTATAGTACCCCCTTGGTTTGAAGTAGAGAGACCAGAAAGCGGTTCTACCCCTTGATTCGAATTTAGGACCGAGGGATTATGTCCCACAATTGTCCTAGTTTGAAAGTGATTTGTAAGAGGTATAACCGGTTGACATATTTGGCCTACTAACTTATTCATTGTTTCGTTCAAAGTGTTTAGGTTGTTTGGCCATGTTGTCATAGTGTACATTCCCATTTTGGGTAAATATTTCCATATTATGAATACTTCGAAGATTTACCTGTTCAACGACGTCTTGTGTGAGTTCTTCAAGTAATGCACGCATGGTTCAAGGACTCAACTCCGTCATTGGTTCGTAACGACTGTTACTGCTCTGATTCTATCCATCTGTTCATGGAGAGGCATGCTGCTCCTCATATCGTTCGATCACAGACTGGATTCCTCCCTGACTTGCTGCTTCCTTATCGGATCTCTGAGGCATATTGTTTCACCTTTTGTACTTTCAATACCAAACACCACTGTCCCACTGGGCGTGCCAAATTGTTTCGCGCGGATTAGTCGCTAACAATTAAAAAGGATCAGACGATTGTGTAAGGGACAAACCTCTTGAAACAAAGTCTCAAAAAGGGGTGTTCTTTTATTGGCGATGACTTTACAATTGGAAATTAAAAACAATGTGCCTCCAAGGGGCGCAAGCACACGAGTTACTGAAAGAAAAGTGTTTAAGTCTAAGCTAAGGAAATTAAAATTACATGTTCTCTGTTCGAGAGTTTTTGATTCGATCCTTTGCTCTATGTCTTTTCTCCCTTTTATACTTCATGGACGATCTCTTTGTGATCAACCGCCTAAAAAAACTGCTTGATCGTCCTTAACTGCCCACTTTCTTCGTAATGGCAAACTTGTCATGAAAACTGCCCTTTTTAACTGCTGCCATTACTCTTTGTCGTTCAACCGCTTTCGATTGAATTTCTTGAATCGTGGAACGTGATAGGGCTGCTTTAATAACTGCTTTGATAACTACACTTCTTGATAACTACGACGCTTTATGTTTGTTAAGATCTCGGGCGACTTGAAGGTTTGGGCGAGAATAGAGTAACAGCTCAGGGCGACTGTATGGAACTCCATTCGCTCAGATTCTGGGCGAATTGCAAGCTTGGGTGATGGCGTTACCGCGTTCTTGGCCTCCCTATTTGGGCCTTCATCTTAATTTGTTTGATTGGGTTTCGTTCTTTGGGCTATCTGATTTGGGGATCCTCCAATTGGGCTTCACTCCTTGGGCCGTTTGATTTGGGCTGAATTTTTATGTGTCAACAGTTGACAAGTCACTTTACTTGTCCCAAGATTCCCAAAATATATTATAGAGCCAATCCCTTCACCGTTCATTTAATTACTTACCTGATTCTCGACCAATTTTAACAATTCGTACAGCAATATTTATAACGTCATGAGAAACATATATTATCGCATCTTGATCATCTCACATCGTGCCTTATGTCCCAAATATGACAATTACCTATCTAAGATTTAAGGTGACCTTGATTTACCGAATGAAAAGCTTGAATCTTTGTTGATACTAATTCTGACCTTTTCGATATCCCCATTGCTCACCAAGTCGACATCCAATATCTAGATTAACATAATTTTCTATCATATCTCAATGTAAAATTCATCACCTAGGTCAAGGAGTAGAAGACTGACACCATATAACTATTTTAAAATCTCAATAATTGAATGCACCATTTTAAAAGAAAGCAATTGAGGAAATTGATGCAAATGAAAATGTAAATGGTATGTGATATGGGTTGGTAGAAGCAGCCACCCTCAAGGACAAGTAAAGCAGACCACAGCACACCGATGCAAGGCCATCGACCCCCATAGGGCATTCTACCACTACACCCAGGGAGCGCTCTATCACTACGCCCTGGAGGCGCTCTACTACAACCCCCAAAGGGTGCTCTACCACTATCCCTAGAAATCATTCTACCACTAAGCGAAGTCCTCAACGGGAATGATATTCCTTGTCCAAACACTTAGCCATAAAACATTTAATGAATTGACCAAGTTCCATGGCCGCTGATACAGGTACAATCTTCAAGCGGGAAGTTAAGGACTCATCACTCAGAACGTGGGTGTAGTGGGAATACCATCGTGGGACACGTGGCACCACAACTGCCCAGCGGTTACCTAGTGCCTAATATCTATAAATACCCCCGGATGTGACACAAGTAAGGGATTTTTTTTCTTTCTCTCATTCTCCTTTTAGCCATCTGAATTTCAAATATATTCTTTCCAAGTCTAAAAACTAATTCTCACGCCGGAGGTAAAACGGGGGAGAAAGCCCCGCCTTCATTTTTCAGGTCTTGCATACTTGACAGAGTGGTGGAAATGCCAAACATTACCGGGCAAACAAAAGGGTGTTGAATCACTGTCCTTTCATTGGCGCCGTCTGTGGGAAAATTCATCTGAACTAAAAAGCCATGTCAAGAAGACGAACAAGAAGTGATACTCGCCTTGTTGGGAACAAGGCGGAGACGGAGTCGAAGTCAGTTGCAAGGGGTCATGAACCACCACCGCCCCCGTAGTATGTGACGCAGAGTTAATTCAGCGCTTTGAAAAACCAATTGGCAGCAATGATGTTGCTCTTACAAGACCAGTCGCAGAGAACCACCATCCATCATTTAAGCCCGACGGAAGTGACGAATCAACAACCGCCTCAAGCGCCACCCGCGGTTGTCCCACCCATCTCTCAGCGGGGAGCAGGAGATGCGGGAGCCCCAATGACCGTAGCTCAACAGCCCCCACAAACCATGGTAGACCTGGAACGAAAAATGGAAGAAATCATGTCCCAGAAGATAGACGATGCGTTGTCCAAGAGAAAGGATAGGCGGAGACAGATGGTTTTGGAGGAAGACCCGTTCGCCCCAGAAATCATGGCGGTCCCTTTGCCTAAAGGCTTCAAACAGCCCATGATTGAAGCCTATGATGGAGTCACGGACCCGCTTGACCATCACGAACCTTCGTGGATCTGATGAGACTTTATGCCGCCCCGGACGCAGTGATGTGCCGATCCTTTCCCCCCACGCTCAGGAGGGAGGCTAGGGACTGGGTAGCAACCTTGTCCCCACGCTCCATCAAGTCATTTGATGAGCTCTCCAAGAGCTTTGTGGCTTATTTCCTAAGCAACAAGAAGAAGAGGAAGACAACCATTGTGTTGATGCAGGTTGTACAGGACAAGGACAAGTCATTGCAGGAATACTTAGCTAGGTTCAGCTGGGCGACTCTTGGCATTAGAGACCTGCAAATGTCCGCAGTGGTTATAGCCTTGATGAATGGAACGCAAAACCGGGCCTTTAAGATGTCACTCTCCAAGAACCCCCCGGAGTCGATGCATGACCTATTAAAGAAGGGAGACAAGTATGTCGATGCGGAGGAAGCGAAGAAGGTAACTAAAAATCTCAGGGATGGAAGGGAGAGGGAAGCTAGTAAGCGAAAAACATATGACAAGGAAAGGCACAATGATAAAAATAAGTGGAAGAATGAACGCACGAGCAAGGGTTATGTCCAAGACCGGTCAGTCAGGCAAAAACGAGAGGAGGTCAAGACACCTACCCCTTTGAACATTCCATGAACAAAGTTATTGATAGAGATACAGCACATGAAATAGCTCGAATGGCCCAAACCAATGCTAACCCCTTTGGGCAAGAGAAATCAAAGTAAATACTGACATTTTCATAGAGATCACGGGCATGATACCGAAGAATGCCGACAGTTAAAGGAAGAAATTGAGCGCCAGCTGAGACAGGGGCTATTGGCGAAGTATGTGAAAAATGATAAGGGCAGGCAAAGGGCCGAAGGTATACCCCCACCAAGAGCAGAAGTTATAAACATGATCATCGGAGGAGTAGCATCGGGCGGCGACTCGAATTCAGCTAGGAAAAGCTATGCGCGTTCAGTAGGGGTCTGCTCTATTCAGAAAAAAGCAAGATTCAACCAGAGTATAACTTTCGATGAAGAGGACTTGATTGGTGTAACACACCCCCATGATGACGCCTTAGTAATAGTAGGTGATATTGCGGATTTTGACGTAAAGGGGGTGTTAGTCGATGGAGGGAGTACGACAAATGTCCTCACCTGGGATGCCTTCTTGGGTCTGAAAATCCCCCAAGAAAAGTTGAAGGTGGTGACTACCCCCTACAAGGCTTTGGAGGGGCAACAGTGATACCGGAAGGGACTGTAGAGCTTTCAGTCACGCTTGGGACGTACCCAGTGATAGTGGTGATCGTGACTAATTTCTTGGTTATCAAGACCCCCATGGCTTACAGCGCTATCTACGGCCGGCCATTGCTAAATGCAGCTGGCACGGTCCCATCGACATACCATCAGATTATGAAGTTCCCAACCAGCAGGGGGATCGGGAGCGTGCGAGGAGACCAGCATGCATCAAGAAAGTGCTATGTGGATAGTATACAAGCCAAAAGCCCACCATCAGTCATGATGCTGGATGTAGAACTCCCGAAGGAGCGGATCAAGCCACTTGATATGATTGAAAAAATCTTTATTGCCAAAGGAAAGGAGTTTCTTGTTGGAACAGGTCTGGGATCCGAAGAGAAGGAAAAATTGGCGAAGTGTCTAGCCGATAATTTGAATGTCTTCGCTTGGAACCCAAAGGATATCCCGGGGATTAGCCCAACTATCGCGCAGCACCGCCTCGGTGTCCAACCAGGGGCTAAGCCAGTGAAGCAGAAAAAGAGAAACCTTGCCCCTGAGAGGCTGGCTGCAGCCAGAGTAGAGGTGGAAAAATTGCTACAGGCGGGTTTTATCCGAGAGGTGCAATATCTCGAGTGGTTGGCAAATATTGTACTTGTGAAGAAGTCAAACGGAAAATGGCGCATGTGTGTAGACTATACTGGTTTGAACAAGGTATGCCCAAAAGACTCATACCCACTTCCCAGAATAGATCAACTGGTAGACGCAACGTCGGGTCACGAAAGGCTCAGCTTTCTAGATGCATTTTTGGGGTATCGTCAAATTTCAATGGCTGAGGCCGATCAAGAGAAGACGTCATTTATCACGGACTTCGGCACGTACTGTTACACAGCTATGCCATTTGGCTTGAAAAGCGCAGGAGCAACGTATCAGAGGATGGTGAACAAATTCTTTCGTGGGCTAATCGAAGGTTTTGTAGAAGTCTATGTTGACGATATGGTGGTCAAGAGCGCCAGAGCCGATGACCATGTGGCCTGTTTGCAGAAAGTGTTTGACGTTGGCCGACAAAACAGATTAAGATTCAATCCAGAGAAGTGTGTTTTTGGTACCGAAGGGGGAAAATTTCTAGGTTTCATGATCACGCAAAGGGGCATCGAAGTGAACCCGGACAAAATTCGGGCAATCCTAGAAACGAAAAGCCCCACCAGTAGGAAGGAGGTTCAGAGGCTAACGGGGCAGGTAGTGGCCTTAAATCGTTTCATGAGCGGGGCGGTGGACAAATGCTACCACTTCTTCAAAGCTATAGGGGGCTCCTCCAATTTTGAGTGGACCCAGGAATGCGAAGAGTCTCTTAGGAACTTGAAGCAGTCATTACAAGAGCCCCCGATCTTGACCAGCCCATCTCCTGGGGACGTGTTGTGTCTCTACTTGGCAGTATCACCAAAGGCAGTCAGCGCGGTGCTGGTGAAAGAGTTCTCGAAGGCGCAAAAACCAGTCTACTATGTGAGCCAAGTATTGAGGGGCGCAGAAATAAGATACAGCCTGACTGAACAGCTGGTGTTTGCATTAATTGTCGCGGTCAAGAAATTGAGGCCTTACTTTCAGTCCCACACGGTGCAAGTAATGACTGACCAACCTATCAAGCAGATTCTACATCGGCCCGAGACCTCTGGGAGGTTGTTGAAATGGGCCATCGAGTTAAGTGAGTTTGATATCAAATTCAAGCCAAGGACAGCTATTAAGGCACAGGCTTTAGCAGACTTCATCATTGAGCTCACCACCCCGCCCGAGCACCTACCAGGGGAGCAGGCAGATTGGAAAATTTTTGTCGATGGATCTTCAAATAACGAAGGATCCGGGGCGAGGATCATAATGATAGGTCCGAATGAAGAAGAGTTGGAATACTCACTGCATTTTGAATTCCCTGCTACAAATAACGAGGTTGAGTACGAAGCAGTAATTACGGGTTTGGGATTGGCAGCCAGACTCGGGGTAACCTCAGTGGAAATTTGCAGTGACTCTCAGTTGATAATCGGGCAAGTGACGGGGAAATTCGAAGCAAAGGACGGAAAGATGGCTGCATATTTAATGGAGGTCAAAAACTTGCACAAGGTGTTCACCAAGTTTAAGATAACTAAGGTCACTCGAAAGGACAATGAGCGAGCGGACACGCTGGCTAAGCTCGCTTCAGCTAACCCCAGACGACAGCCTCACACAGCCAGTGTGCAAATTCTGCGACAACCTAGCATCCAACACGTAATCGATGTTATGAATGTAGAGAATGAGGAAAGTTGGATAGACCCGCTGTTTGAGTATCTCACAAAGAATAAATTGCCGGAGGATGCTCTCACAGCCAGAAGGCTAAAAGTTTGGGCGGCCTCATTTGCCATCATCGATGGGCTACTCTACAAGCGAGGCTTCACAATGCCATATTTGAAGTGTTTGCGACCGTCAGAAGCACAGGAGGTGCTAGTCGAAGTACACGCGGGAATTTGTGGCAACCACCAAGGGACGACCACCCTTGCGTTCAAAACGCTTCAACAAGGATACTATTGGCCTAGTATGAAGGAAGATGCTAGAGAGTTGGTGAGAAAATGCGATGCATGCCAACGCCATGGAAATCTGATCCACATTCCAGCCGAGCAATAGACGGCAGTTTTCGGGGTGTGTCCCTTCTTCCAATGGGGGATGGACATCTTGGGACCTTTGCCCCTGTCAAAAGGACAAAGGAAGTTCTTATTAGTTGCCGTCGACTACTTTACTAAGTGGGTGGAAGCTAAGCCCCTGGCCACCATCACGACTGCAAAGATACAGGGATTCGTCTGGAAAAATATCATATGCAGGTTTGGTATACCTCGGGTGATCATCACAGATAATGGAAAACAATTCGATAATCACAGTTTTAGAGCCTTCTGCACAAGCTACCACATCGACCACAGGCTGACTTCAGTTGCTCACCCACAGGCAAATGGACAGGCTAAAGTGACCAACCGAACCATATTATGGGATTTGAAGACAAGGTTGGAAAAAGAAAAAGGACTTTGGGCTGAGGAGTTGCCCAATGTACTATGGGCATATCACACTACCCCCTGAGAATCGACCGGGGAGACGCCATTCAAACTGGCCTTTGGGATGGAAGCCGTGGTTCCGGTTGAGATCTTAAGCGAGACAGGAAGGATGAAAGTCAAGCAACCCGACGACGCAGCGACTAGGGGAGAACTCGACCTCCTCGAAGGGGTAAGGGACAAGGCGGCGATAAGAATGATGGCTTATAAATGAAGAGCCGCTGAGTACTTCAACCGGAGAGTGAAGCCAAGGGTCTTCCAGCCAGGAGATCTCGTGCTAAGAGATGCAGCAGCGGCAGGACACCCCCCACCAAAGCTTGGTCCAAACTGGGGAGGCCCGTACGAAGTAATACGCATGCTAGGAAAGGGAGCTTACAGCTTGAAAGATATAAAAGGAAGGCCGCTAGGTAGACCATGGAATGCAGAACACCTCAAAAAGTATTACCAGTAGAATTCGAAATGTACCCGCCGGCTGTGCTTTTGTAAATATAGTGGATTAGGTTGCATTGTTTATTTTCTCTATGTAATGCCTCACGAAGGCACCCTTAGTTGTAACAATTTATCTTATTCAATGAAAGACCTTGGCGGTAACGGATGATGAGGGCGCTACGGAAGGGCCAGCCTAGCTGGGACGTCCCGGTGCGCCTACTGAGTTCACAAGACCAGGAATTTTTTATGCTAATAGACAACTTTGAAATCCACGCCATCCCACTAAGACATGATGTCGACGTAGCCTACGCGGCTATGTGGAGAGCCATGAAAAGTCAAAAATTGGCTAAGCCCTTAACCATCGAATCACCCCCTGCGGTCGACGTAGCCTACGCGGCTAGGTGGAGAGCCTTGGAAAGTCAAAAAATTGGCTAAGGCCCTTAACCACCAAATCACCCCCTGCGGTCGACGTAGCCTACGCAGCTAGGTGGAGAGCCTTGGAAAGTCAAAAAATTGGCTAAGGCCCTTAACCACCAAATCACCCCCTGCGGTCAACGTAGCCTACGTGACTAGGTGGAGAGCCTCGAAAAGTAAAAAAAAAAACAAATTGTCTAAGGCCCTTAATCGCCAAATCGCCCCCTGCGGTCGACGTAGCCTACATGACTAGGCAGAGAGCCATAGAAAAATATATATATGAACACTCTCCCGCACCATCAAGCAGTAAAAAGAAAAATAACATGAGAGACGACATTTTAAAGGAACCACGCATCCAGCGCCAATAATATCGAATGAAAGACATGTTTACACATTCGAATAATTCTTGCCCACATCCCGAGCAAGTAGGAGATAACAAAAGGCCCTTAACCACCAAATCACCCCCTGCGGTCGACATAGCCTACGCGGCTAGGTGGAGAGCTTTGGAAAGTCAAAAAAATTGGCTAAAGCCCTTAACCACCAAATCACCCCCTACGGTCGACATAGCCTATATATATATATATATATATATATATATATATGAACACTCCCCCGCGCCATCAAGCAGTAAAAAGAAAAATAACATGAGAGACGACATTTTAAAGGAACCACGCATCCAGCGCCAATAATATCGAATGAAAGACATGTTTATACATTCGAAAAATTATTGCCCACATCCCGAGCAAGTAGGAGATAACAAAGCTAAGCAAAAGTAAACACTAAAAACTAGCAAAGAAAACAACAACTAAGAAATGCTTCAGCTCAAAGGGGAGACATCCCCACTAACACCTTGTGATGAACAACCGAGTGATCTGGATGATTGAGCTACACTCTCCTTCCCCTTGCGCTGTGAGAGAAATCTATCCAGATCGGAGGGGTCTATAGAAGGATGCTCGGCCATAATCCACTCCTTGGAGAGCTTAATTGACGCTGACATCGCCTTTCCCCCGTATGAGTTCAAAGCCTTAGCATAATTGGACGATGTCTTATACTGATCCACAGCCGCCTTGAGATCTCCAGCATGCTCATCTGAGGCCTTATACCTCTCAACCGCCTCTTTAGGAGCACGAGCCAAAACAGAACGTAGGTTGTCGATCTCCGTCTCTTGCTCACGAGCTCGAGCATTCGACATCTCCAGAGATTTCCTTAAGGAGGATATTTTTTTCTTGTGGTGATGAGCCTCCTTTTTCTTTTCTTCAGTAAGAGTTTTCAGCTCTGAGACCAGGCGGCGATTTGACTCAGTGAGTCCAGTCTGGAGGGCCATCACCTAAAAAAAATGTATAAGGGGAAAAAGAGTGAAACCACGAGTTAAAATCTAACTTAAAAGGCAAGATCCAACATAAAAGAAATCTCGAAATGAGAAACATACCCTCTGAAGATAAACAGCCGCAGCCCTTTCAATGTCATCTGCGCTGCGCCCTGCAATCGGTCTGGATCGAGCGGGGGTCACCAACGACTTAAGCACCCCCATCTCATGATAGCCCCGGGTGGGAGGAAACCTAAAGTTAGGAAGCGAGTCCTCGCGCTCACAACGCGCACGACTGGGAGCTCCCGGCCTAGGAGCTGGAACCACATCACGAGGCTCATCTGAAGGCTGAGAAGTCTCGTTGATCGTCTGAGACTTTTTCCCAAGGTCGGCCCCCCTCCTTCTCTTTGAAGGGATAGGCAAAGGATCCACCTCACCCTCCTGCCCCTGGTCAGGCATGGAATCCATGACTCCTTCCAGATCAAGCTCGGCCCCTGCACATGTAAGTTGAAATCGGTTAAGATCAAAAGGTAGAGTACACAAAAAAAAGGGGGGGAGGGGGGAGAGAGGGTGGGGGTGAACATGAAAGCTTACCATCAACAAGGGTAAGACCCTCATCTCCTCCTGACAGAGTCCTCAATACCTCATCAAGATCAAAGTCCATACCTGAAACACACGTCCAAGCTCATTAGTCTCGACGAGCTAAAGGCAAAAATAATAAATGGACGTGTGTGCATGCGATAAAAAAAAAAAAGAAAAACAACATAAACAACCTATCGATTGGACGACTCATCCCCACTTTCAACATGTTCTTCATGGTTAGGACTGACCCTAAGTCAGGTGCAAAAGGCGGTACATCAACAAAGTCTTGGATTTGAGCTTCTAGAAAGGGAGTAACTTCTACTTGGCTATTGAAGAGATGAATTTGGGGGTGTCGCCAGTTTGTGTTAAAAGAAAACTGACCCTTTGAAGGCCGGACGAAGAAAAATCGGGACTTCCATCCGCTATTCGAATTCCTAAACTTAGGGAATTGCATAGGTACCCTAGTGGTAAAATAGACAAAGGCATTACATTGAACTAGCTCATGCATTTCGAAGACACACCTGAAAAGATCCATGGAAGGCAAAATTCCCTTTTTGAGATAGACATACAGAAAATATAACGCTTTTCTCCATGCTTTAGGATTAATTTGACTAGGAGTAAGGTGGAACTCGTTGAAAATCAACACAAAAAAGGGATGAATGGGGAACCGAAAACCCCCGTCCATAACATCCTTGTACATGGCTATCTCACGGGGGTCGAACCCGGGGAGCCTTTCTTTAGGACCAGGGGCTCTATAGACGTAATCATCAACCCGGTCATACTTAGCTAGACATTTTTCCAACTTACGTGGCGAATTATAGAGACTATAACTTTTTGGGATATCTAGGGGGACAACCTCACCGGTCGGGTCACGCCCGATTTCTAAATTTTGGCTCGGAGATTTAGAAGAACCGATGTGTCTCTTCGGGAGATTTGGAACAAACGGCTGAGAATCAATTGAATGAGTTTCACTATCAATATCATAAAGGGATCTGTCGGATGAAGGGGCGAGTCACTACAAGGGCGGATCGAAGGACCGGACAAGCCACAGGACTTAACGAGTGGCGGGGGACGGCCAGCCATAGGGCTGGCCGTAGGTCGACCAGCAAGGCTAGTCGGCGACCGCCCCCACGTGGGTCGGTCGGACTCCCTCCGGTACCCTCCGACGAAGGTCCAGTTGAATCACTACACCTCCCATCACTTTTTTCATTGGAAAGAGAAGAAAGAATAGTTTTATACATGACAACAAAGATGATGAAGAGAAGAAATTTAAAACAAAACCTTGGATTTAAAAAGGGAGAGGAAATTACCTTATAAGAGAGGAAGCCTAGGATGTTGAGAGGAAACGAAAGTGATTTTCTAGAATGAGAATTATCCCCCTTTTATAACACTAGAATTCAAACTTTTTGGGGAGGAATTGGAGGGAAATCTCCCTCCAATATTAAGACCATTGGTGAGGAGCCATGTGTACAGTAGAATTGCCACTCGATCGTGTTTATATAGTTTGATTTGCTAATACGAACTATTCCTTTCTCTTTATATATAAAAAAAAAAAATCTCAAACCAACCTAAAATTTCTACCCCTTGCCGAAAACATCGACAAGGGGTAGAGAGGCTAATGATATAGGTTGGTAGAAGTAGCCACCCTCAAGGACAAGCAAAGCAGACCACAGCATACCGATGCAAGGCCATCGACCCCCATAGGGCGTTCTACCACTACACCCAGGGAGCGCTCTACCACTACGCTTGGGAGGCGCTCTACTACAACCCCCAAAGGGCGCTCTACCACTATTCCTAGAAATCATTCTACCACTAAGCGAAGTCCTCAACGGGAATGATATTCCTTGTCCAAACACTTAGCTATAAAACATTTAATGAATTAACCAAGTTCCATGGCCGCTGATACAGGTACAATCTTCAGGCAGGAAGTTAATGACTCATCACTCAGAACGTGGGTGTAGTGGGAATACCATCGTGGGACACGTGGCACCACAACAGCCCAGCGGTTACCTAGTGCCTAATATCTATAAATACCCCCGGATGTGACACAAGTAAGGGATTTTTTTTCTTTCTCTCATTCTCCTTTTAGCCATCTGAATTTCAAATATATTCTTTCCAAGTTTAAAAACTAATTCTCACGCCGGAGGTAAAACGGGGGAGAAAGCCCCGCCTTCATTTTTCAAGTGTTGCATACTTGACGGAGTGGTGGAAACGCCAAACATTACCGGGCAAACAGAAGGGTGTTGAATCACCGACCTTTCAGTAAGAAATGCATGAATCATATTGACCAAATGTCTAATGTGAAATTTGGGATATTACAACAATGTAGTTAAATAGTAGGGAAAAATTTTAGATTTATGTGTAAAATATTTTATTACTGAATGTGTAGTAAAAAATTGATATTTAGATTAAAGAATTTTGAAATAATGGTCGTCAAACATGGCTTAAAATATGTTTAGTAGAATATTCTTTTCCCCTCAATTTATCTCTTAAAAATTTTCCCACATTATTTTGCTTCGAAACAATCTAGAGTATCGATTTTTGTTTATTGACCGAACACTGTATACGTTGGTTGGATTGGTGGATCAACTCAATTTAATGTAACTTTACAAAAGGTCATGTTTTGTTTGATTAAAAAATTTTATCAAGTAAAAAAGGGAAGTAGTTTTTATTTTATTTTTTAAATGAGGGTGAGTAATTTGGAATATAAAAAATAAACATAAAAAAAAAAAAAACTAACATTCTTCATTTTTTCCATCAAAATATATTTTTCAATAATAATTTGATCTCACTTTAATCACGTATTTTTTAATAAAATAATATTATACACAAGTTAATTATTTTATTTATTTTTTTAATCATATATTTCTCATCAATACACTATTTAAAATATATATATATANCGATGTCCTCTTCAATTACCACCCAAAATCTCATTATAACTCCAAGGGATTCGATTGAAAAATTGCCTTAAAATTCACCCAAAAAATCTGAAAATCTGGGCAGATTTTCAGAATTTTTGGACGAATTTTAAGGCAATTTTTCGATCGAATCCCTTGGAGTTATAATGAGATTTTGGGTGGTAATTGAAGAGGACATCGTGGGCTTTCCAACGGTATCAAAATTTGACATTTTTTGTGGTCGGAAGTTGTCGAAAATTTGCCGTAAAAGTAGCCCACTTATTTGAAGAGACGAGTGGTGAATGAGTAATTATATGAAAAGATGAGTGAGCATTCAGTAATATGTGAAAGATGAGTGAGCA